ATACACGTTGCGGTTTACGGATACGCGTTGCGATTTACGGATACGCGTTGCGATATACGGATACGCATTGCGATTTACCCATACGCGTTGCGATTTACGGATACACGTTGCGATTTACGGATACGCGTTGCGATTTATGTGTTCGCGTTGCGATTTTCATATTCGCGTTGCGATTATGGAAAATCGCAATGCGAATTTGTACTATCGCATCGCGATTTTCAAGAATCGCGTTGCGATTCTGGAAACTGATTTGCGATTCTGGGGATCGCGTTGCGATTTTTATTTCGCGTTGCGATTTTGTTGGTCATTTTGGCAAATCCAAAAAAAGTTGGTTAAAATCGTATATTATAACTTTTTTTTGGTCACTGAGGCGATTTTCTCTTACTTAAATCCTAATCACTGATAAAAAAATTAAATATTCTAAACCTTTAAAATCACTTAATGCATTAACATACAAATTAGGTTTTGTAATTAAATAAATATTTAACTTTTAACAATTAAGTCTTAATTTATGAAATCAGAGCAAAATCAATTAATTAGAAAACAACATCTAACTTACACATGAGACGACTATAATTTAAAGAGAAAATAACTTCAGTGACCAAAAATACCTTATAATATACTATTTTAATCAACTTTTTTTGGATTTGCCAAAATGACCAACTAAATCGCAATGCGATCGATAATTCGCAACGCGATCTCCGGTATCGCAAATCAGTTTCTAAATTCGCAACGCGAACATCGACTATCGCAACGCGAACATCGACTATCACAACGCGAACTTCGACTATCGCAATACGATTTTCCATATTCGTTGCGATAGTCCAAGTTCGCGTTGCGATTTATTCCAAATTCGTTGCGATAGTCCAAGTTCGCGTTGCGATAGTCCAAGTTCGCGTTGCGATTTATTCCAAGTTCGTTGCGATAGTCGAAGTTCGCGTTGCGATTTATTCCAAGTTCGTTGCCATAGTCGAAGTTCGCGTTGCGATTTATTCCAAATTCGTTGTGATAGTCCAAGTTCGCGTTGCGATTTACCAAATTCGTTGCGATAGTCCAAAATCGCAACGACTGGTGGTATTGCATTTGTTTCTTAAGAATTTTCTCTAAAAAGATAGTATTCGCGCGGACGTGTTGAAGATACGTATTACCACGACCACGACCACGACCATGACCTGACCCGAGACGAGACGAGACGGACGGACGGCGGCGGCGCGCGAGAATCCCCCTTGTTCTCTATCACTCAACAAGAAAGTGGGAAAGCCAAGCCTTAAATACCATTCCCAATAGTGTTTCCAATACTATGTGAGATTGAGCATTACCAACATTTGTTCCCAATACTATGTGGGATTGAGCCTTAAATAGTGATATTATTTGTGAATTATAGTTAATGACTTTAGTATTTATATGAAAAGTATTTGTGGTTCGTTTAGTTTTCATGCAATTCTAATTTATTTTCAATTGATTATAATTGCATGATAACATTTTTTTTATTCTCGCGAGTAAAGCAATTTTTTTTGAATGTTTTGCTTAAAATTGCAATAATCGCGATTGATTGTAGATTGACTTTTAATTATGACATATTTAATCGTATAATACTAATGCAATTAGTTGTTGATTCAGTTGTTTTAAAGTACATGATTGTTAATTGTTTCATGAATAATTACATAGTATTGGAAACAAGTGTTGGTAATGCTCAATCCTACATAGTATTGGAAACACTATTGGGAATGGTATTTAAGGCTTGGCTTTCCCACTTCCTTGTTGAGTGATAGATAACAAGGGGGACTCTCACGTGCCGCCGCCGCCGCCGTCCGTCTCGTCTCGTGGTCGTGGTAATATGTGTCTTCGACACATCCGCACAAATACTATCTTTTTAGAGAAAATTCTTAAGAAACAAATGCAATACCATCAGTCGTTGCGATTTTGGACTATCGCAACGCGAACTTCGACTATCGCAACGAACTTGGACTATCGTAACGAATTTGGAATAAATCGCAACGCGAACTTGGACTATCACAATGCGAATATGTAAATCGCAATGCGATAGTCGAAGTTCGCGTTGCGAATCTGGAAACTGATTTGCGATACCGGAGATCGTGTTGCGAATTATCGATCGCATTGCGATTTAGTTGGTCATTTTGGCAAATCCAAAAAAAATTGGTTAAAATCGTATATTATAAGACATTTTTGGTCAGTGAGGTTATTTTCTCTAATTTAAATACCTCATGACATGACACCAAAATCAATTAGTTAATATTTTGATTCAAAACATTAAAATTGAAGTAGTTGACTCAAATATTTTCATTCAAATATATTTGAAGTTTATGATAAATTTAAAGTTGAATAAATTATCTTTTTAAAAAATAATTTAATTTATGTATATTTTAAAAGTAAATAAATAAAAACCAACTTTAATAATATTAATTTTTATTAGTATATGATACATGTCCAATTGTGATTAAATATATATATTAAATATTTTTCATAAGTTTGAAAATATTAATATTTTTATAAATTTTACCACCTTTTCAATTAAATTCTTAATCTTACTCCAAATCTAAAAATTTTAATTAAAAAGTTATTATTATTTTAAATAAATTATTAATTAATGATCAATATTTTTTATTTAATATAAAATCCTCTACAATCGTCAGTAAGTATTGGTACAAGCTGTTGGGATTTAGGAATTTGAGTTTGTAAGGTCAAATTCGAATCCTACCATCTTTACTCTTGAAATGCAATCTGTAAATTCCTATATAAATCTCAATTGAATCTTAGATAAGAGAGCAACTCCTGACCTAAACTTTTATGTAAAAAAAATTGCTCTATAATCATAGATAATATGCACAATTATTTTTTTATTATAAAAATAATCACTTATTCTAAAAGGCTTCTACCTTTATCAAATGTTTTGTTTCCACATAATTGTTAACTTAAATTCTTTACTAGTTGATGAAAAAACCTCTGTTGAGTGTTTGTTAATCTCAAACCTCTGTTGAGTGTTTGTTAATCTCAAACCTCTGTTGAGTGTTTGTTAATCTCAAACCTCTTTTTAATGATTGTAACCTCATTGTACAGGTAAAAAATTAAAAATAAAATACTAATTATTCAAATAATTATTGTTTTCATAAATATCGTTAATATAAGAACATAAACTGCTTTAACTAAGACAAGATTACATAAAATAAAATATAAGATTCTAAACTTTTATCTGATTAAAAAAAAATTAAATTACTAATTTGACTTTATTAATAAATTACTTATAAAGGGTTATGGATTGAATTTGGACGAATTTTTTATTTATTAAATTTGATTTGAATATTATATATATAATTAGGATTTACTTACCTAGTGTAAAATTCTTTTAGTTTTATATAGTTTTAGGACTATTGAATAAGTAAAAGGTAGATGTATGAAATTAACTTATTGTTTTTTTCAATGAATATATTCTTATATTTTATTGTTAATCTCAACCATCTATTTTCAATCATCCACCGATCCTAAATACGTGTAAAACTAAAATAATTTTACATTGTGTGAGATGATCTTATCCCCCCATATATATATATATATATATATATATATATATATATATATATATATATATATTAGATAAAATAAAAATTAATTAAAAATTATAAAAATTCATATTATTGTAATTATCTTTAAATATATGAAAATAATTATATTATTTTTTTAAAATTTAAATTTATATATTTAACTTAATTTAAATTTAATTATTTTAAAAGTTTTAATTAAAATTAAATCAAAATTTAGGTGTTGTTTGTTTTTGCAGAGGTAAAAGATCTGCAGTCTGCAGACCACATCTACAGGCATATGCAGCAGAAGAGGTGGACCAAAAGTCTGCAGTCTGCAAGAAGAAGACTGTTTGTTTTTTAACGTCTGCAGACTGTTAAAATAAACTAAAATATAAATAAACTGATTTTTTAAACTTAAAAGAGATTTACAATACTGAGATTTAAATAATTTTAGTTTTACAATATTGAAATTTAAATAATTCATACAACTACAATAATAATTTTTTTTAGAAAAATAAACACCACCTTATTAATTCTATTATAAGTCTCACATAATCACATGTATTATTAGTTTTATAAGTTTTATAGAATAAAATTTATAAATGATCATTAAATTATATGATTTTTTTAAATATGCAATTATGTAATACTTTTAATTTTTTAAATATATATTCATAATTTATTTTTATAATTATATGATATTTTTAGAAAATATTTTAATTTATAAAATTATTTTATGATTATTTTTTATTTAATTGTGATTATATTTTAAAATTTTAAAAACATAATTTATAATTTTTTATATTTTAAAATCTTAATTATCAAACAATGAAATCATTTTTTATTAAACAATGTGGTTTAAATACTTACATTTTGTATAAAAAGTTTAAATATAATTTAAAAATAATAAATCCAAAAAAATATTATATTTAAAATTAAATCAAAATAATTAAAATAAATATAAAAATTTAATAATATATAAAATAATTTATATGATATAAAATTAAATATCTATAATATAATATTAAAAAATTAATATTTAATTTATTTAAAAATTAATATTAAAATTAATATCTATAATATAATATTAAAAAATTAATATTTAATCTATTTAAAAAAAATAATATTAAAATTAAAATCAAATATAATATAAAATTAAATATAAAATCTCTTTGAAGAGGTTGCTGCAGATATAGGGTCACGTTTGCGCCGCGCATACGTTAGAAGAGCTTATATATTCTAAAAGATAAACGGTTTAAGAAGCTTAATGTCTACGCGTGATCTGCGTGACGCATACATAAGAACATTAAAGACTTTACACAGTAAAATCAAACCGTATACATCCATAGATATTACCGCCAAATATATTTTTTGGAAACCTAAACCGACACCTACCCCAAAAGCCCATTATTCACCACAAGACATTGCGTCAGATGCAAATATTGGCTTGATAAAATGGTTTCCCTATTTTCTATTTTTCTTATCTAAATAAAAATTAAAAGCATGTAAATGTAACACTAGAGCTCTGATTCATCAAATCTCTGATCTGACCTGCCGACTTTCCTCAAACTACACATGGCGGAAGAGAAAGAGTCAACGTCGATTCCGCTGAGCCAAGCCGAAAATGGTGGCGTCGATCCCGAAGATCCGGCTAAGTCTCCTCCTAGCTCCCCCAATTCCTCCACTCGCAAGGTCCATTTCCTGCCCTTTTTACCCCCCCTTTTATTTATTTCTCTCTTTTAGCTTTGACTTCCCTTCAAATTATGGACCAATTAATCACGGTGATTATGGACCAATTATTCACGGTGAGTTTCTGATCTATGTTGTACGACTTTTCTTAAATTTATATTTGTCCAAATGTAAATGAATTTTGTACTTGTCGTTTGTGACTAACCAAAACTTGAGTGCAGATAAGAGAAATCCCTGCTAAATTTGGGATGTAGGAACTGAAAATGGTCAAATGTCGCTTAAGATTTGTCATAATCTCTTCTTGACTATGTTTAATAACTGCCAAACCGTTTAATTCTTCATACAAACAAAAAAAAAAGGAAAGAAATTGATTGAATTTTCAATTATATACAGAAATTCTAATGGTTTCGATTGTCCACGGGTTTGGCTTAAATATGTTTTTAATGTCAAAACAAATCAACAGAACTATATTAGGAGGATGAAAAGGTTCAGGATAAACGTTTCTGCTTTGAGGACTAGGGTTTAGGATTTAAATAATACGTTAAAAAAAACTAAAATATGGAGAAATTGGATGACCTTTACCAGGAGTGCTTCCAATATAAAGTTTATTCTATATACAATTCTCTGTTAAACCAGTTTGATATATCTAACTTTGAAATACCTTACGGAGGTTTTGAGAGATTTAAATATATTCAAGTCATTAAGATGAATTTATCTGGGTTTAACTACTTTTAATGGTTTTAAAGTAATTGTGTTTGCAGAAAAAAAAGAATAATAATCTGCTAGTTTCATGTAAGTCTTAGAAAATGTATAAGCTATTACAGCATTTTCCTAGAATAAATAATGAAACAAATAAAGGAATTTTTATTTTCAAGTCTGAACATTTTTGTTTTATGATTCTCCAGGCTTGTTGTTTTGTTCTCCAAAGTTGGGTCTCAAAGAAGTTCATGACTGGATGGTATTGAGCTTTTATATTTCCCAAAAGCATTTTCTATAGTCCATTGTTTCTTTCTATATTTCAAGCCCAACAAGTGACAACGTGTTGACATGCAAAATTGCAGTGTGGTCCTTTTTCCTGTGGCAGTGACATTCTTCATTACTTGGTGGTTTATTCAGTTTGTTGATGGTTTCTTCAGTCCACTATATGAACGACTTGGCATTGACATATTTGGTAAGTTTAATTGCATTATTCGGGGCTTTGATGTTTGATGAGTCAAGTATGGTTAAATTATAAGTTCTTGCCTCCAATGGCAATTATCACTAGTCCAACCATGTTTCACAATCATCAAACCCCTAAGTTTCTTCATAATCTAAAAATGTAAGTTTATTGCAAATAATGAATTGGCTGGTAATCTTACTATAGATAAGTTCAAGGATAGAACTCAAGATTGCTATTGAGGTTTTTAACTCCAAAATGATAAACATTTCTGAAGAAGTTGTAGCCCGAGGATTTTAAAATGTCATATTTTTCCCTTATTCTGAATATCATCAGAAGCACATATGACCTGCATAATTTTTTAGCTTGTGAGTTTTGTGATCAATTTGGAATTATTATTATATGGTCCATGCCACAGCCTACTGCATCATCCAAGAGAACTCTTCTTCCTCTTCATTCTTGCGTTTTATGCAGATCTTTTTGGTGATCTTTTTTTTTTTTGCTCCAAGCAATGATTGTCTGAGCTGTGATTACTTTCTGCAGGACTGGGATTTATCACATCTCTGCTCTTTGTCTTCTTTGTCGGAGTTTTTGTTTCATCATGGATGGGAGCTGCTGTTTTTTCAGTGGGGGAATGGGTTATAAAGCGAATGCCCTTTGTTAGGCATTTGTATTCTGCCTCGAAACAAATTAGTGCTGCCATATCCCCAGGTTATACCTAATTAACTACTCTGATAAACTGTTTTTTCATGTAAATCTAGTTCAATAAGTTATCTGCATCCACAAAAGTTATTTCACGTGTTTTAATAAGTCAGGATATACTGCTTAGTTGGCGTGAAAGCACAATAACTATTTGATATTTGGCAAATAATACAAAGATGTTATCTTTGTCCTTGTAGATCAAAATACTACAGCATTTAAGGAGGTCGCTATCATTCGTCACCCACGTGTTGGTGAATATGCATTTGGCTTTATCACATCAACTGTCACCCTTCAGGTACCATTATAGTATCTTGTCTGTTCTTTTGCTAACATATACTGTTGTTCCACGAATGCCATATCAGTTCTTCATGTAATATTGGGTTATGCAATGGCCATTTAAAACTTAAATTTAGCTTTTATACCGGTATAATTAATTTTACTAACAACAAAATATAATACCCCTCCCCACCCCCAAAAAAAAACACACACACATATATATTAGATTATGGGTTTTGTATGGTGAACAAGACTTGTTATGCTCTATGAGACATATTGTCATGTCTCTTACGTACTAATCCACTGGCATTTCATATATGTTCTCTTAGGTTACACAATGCTAAATAAAGATGAGATTTGATGTTATTGTTCTCATCTGTTCACATTGAACATATAGTTTCCCCAGCAGACAAAGGCGTTCCTGTCTTGTCATGCTTATCATAGAACTGATCTTATGATCTTTCCTGAAGGAGATTGGTATTGCATTCTAACGACTATGAAAGAAATAGGTCTCCATTAAAACAACTGCTAATCTTTTTATAATTAATTTAAAACTTTAAAGTGTTCTAATGACAACCCTTGTTCGGTTTCATTAGGTTTTTCTTATAGTGTAATGGATTGCCAAAATCCTATTTGGTCGTAGTGGAGCTATGTTTATCAAAATGCAGTCACAGTTTGACTTGGAAAACTGTAAACCTTTACTGTCAGTCAAAATTCGTACAGTTGTAAATACAAAGGGCACTATATTTTACAATGTGTCCAATACACATTGTGATAAATAACCTTTATATTGTCATTGCCTTTCATTAAATGTGGATGAGACATCATATCATTATTCTCTCCCCCACGCCCTCCCCTCTGAAAACAACCTCTGTAATAGGGAAGTGCAGAGCCAACACAATAGGCCAAGAGACCAGAACCTCAAATTTTCATCAGACTGTGTGCGAGGATGGGAGGGTTTGTGTGTATGGACTGGTGGGGGTCTGCGGGTTTTCAATCACATAAAATTATAAGAATTGAGTCTTGTGGTTACATGTTAACCGGCACTAGAATCTGATTATTAGCTAGGCTTAGCAAAGATGTTACATCCCGTTCAATCTTGGTGGTTGATAATGCCTACTACATGGATGGTTGTCATAACCACACTGGGATGATTGTAATGTCACTTATTCTATGAGATCCCAAATGAATGAATGCCGCTCTTGGTTGTAGTTTATAGGCGTGTAGTAGCAAAATGCTCTTTTCTACAAGGATTTTTTTGGTTCCCCCCCCCCCTACACGTTCTCTTAGTAGCTCTGCTTGTTGATTGTGCATGTAGAGAGAAACTGAAGATGAAGAGCTATGCAGTGTATTTGTCCCAACAAATCATCTATACATTGGTGATATCTTCCTGGTGAACTCCAAAGACATCATAAGGCCCAATCTTTCGATCCGAGAAGGCATAGGTATTTTCTCCGTTTTCCAAAAAAGTTCTTACCTTGTCATGCTTTCTCATTCTATATATTTATTTAAGAATGCCTGCATTTGAAAATTAAGTAAAACTTCTTATTGCCCTTTTTGGGTATGTTGATTTATGACATTTTACATGTCTGGATAGTTAACTAGAAAAGACTTTGTTTAGCTGAACCATATTGTTGAGGTTATTGAATTCATGGCAAAAAATCCCCGACTTGGAAAAGAAAAAGAAAGTTAGGACTTCCGACTTCAAGTTTTAGTGGACCTTTCACTTTCTCCAAAGAGGAGAAAATTTGTTGGTAAAGATCTCTAAAACCAAGAAACTTCAAAATACAAGTTATAATGAACATAAATTGTATACGTTTCTTGTTTATATCTGTACTTATTTGATTTAGCATCAGCCAAATTCAAAACCTGTCAAACTGTACGAGTCCTTTGCAGTAGAGCCTAATATCCGTGCTATGGATCTGTGCACTGTAAATTTGTTGAAGTTTCTTTGTTGGTTTACAGTGGATGCCAATACCTGTCCTGCGTACATGTATACTTTCTAGCCTTGTTGATTTCATGTGTAAGAATGAATCGTGGACGATGAATCCGTTAATCAGCGTTGCTCTTCTCTGTTATCGTTGTTCTTACCTTTTGGTGATAATGCAGAGATAATTGTTTCTGGAGGTATGACGATGCCACAAGTGATATCTCCGCAAGAAAGGTTTGCACGGCAGAAGGAAAGAATCCCTTTAAACAGGATGATGTAACAAAAAATACATAGAGAGAAGAGGAATGTCAGATAAGCTCCATAATTTACTTTCATTCCCTTAAAGTTGGAGTGTATGATAATATTTTTGGTTATAAAATCCTAGGATAAGGATGCTTTATTATACCTGCGCTTTCCGACAATTTACATAAATAAAAGCAGTAGCTTTTAATCTCACCGTTGTTTATTAGTGTATTTCTTACTGCTTCAATGTTCTATACAGTCATCTTTATCAAAAGACATCACTTATTGTGCAGAATGTATATTTTTAATATCTTATATTACTCTGATATGAGTATGTTGAATTTTATTTAAGTTTTACATTGATTAAGATGATGAGTAAAAATAGACAATTGAGATTATTTTTTTTTGGGGTATAATCACCAGTTTTCGATTTATCAATCGATTAATTCAGATTGGATACTGCAAAGGTGAGGACGATTCTTTCAATTCAATTTACTCCATTCACAAATGTCAGGATATAAATCACTGATCCTTACTTTAGAGATATAGTGTCTTATCTTACTAAATTAATTAATTATATATAGGGTTGGGCACGGGACTTGAACCCGATGGGATTCGACCCGATCGGGTCGGGGGTTTTTTATAAAAAAATTCGGGTTTGGGTCGGGTTTAGGGTGAAAAATATCCGACCCTACCCGAAAAAAATATATAATTTTATCTTATATATTTAGAAATAATTACAATAATATCCCTTTATATATACTTTTTTTAATTAAGTTATTGTTTTTATTAAATAAAAATAATAATTTTTTATTATTTCGGGTCGGGTCTGTTCGAATTTCTAAGTTATATGTCGGGTTCGGGTCGGGTAAAATTTTGTTTTGGTCGTGTCGGGTCTCGGGTCGGGTCCAGTGACAAAAAATCCAACCCATGCCCATCCCTAATTATATATTGTTATAATTAATCCCTATGATATCTCATTCAGATTTGAAAAAAATCAACTAATTTGAGAATTATTCCTTAATTTAACTTCCGAGTGACCATGCAAGTAACCTTTTATTTACCTCTATGATAAAAAATAAAATTTATAAATTTTGTTATTGATGTAACACTATTTTATGCTTAAACAATTCTATTTATTAAATATAAAAATAATTTGATGTGTTTAATTTTAAAATTATTTATGATTGAATCAAAGTCGAAGTTTGTGTAAAGTATTTTTTGGAGAAGACTGGATTGGATGTTGCATCCCGGAAGATAAATATTGAGGACTTGACAAAATAAAAAGAAAATTATGGGGCAACATATTATGTACTTCAAGACTCTCTTATACTTGACTGAAAGAAGGTAATGAAAATAATGAGAGTTATCATCCTAGCAAACTGGTTATAAGGTTAGGGATTGAATCTTGATTGAAAGTATTAAGGACTTAAAAATAAAACATATTTCACTTAAAATCATAATTTATACATTAATGCTGATAAAAAGATTAAATTCCTCTCAAAATAATTAAATGAATACAATTTGATTGAAAAGAGGATGGAGGTAGGCTGGGCTGGGCTAGGCTAGACAGCGGGAGAGGCTTAGGCCGATGAGAAAGAGAGAGAGAGCGGTCCAATCGGAGGAAAGACCGCGACTACAGTTGAGGAAAGCCCTACTCTCTCTCAACTCTGGAACCGGAGTAGAACTGAATTTCGATAAATACCTTTATTTCAAAGTCCTCATATTTCATACATACAAACAAAATCCTCATTTAAAAGGAAAAACAATTAAAAACTGTTTCAATCTTCCCGACCTTATCGCCTGATCTTTAAAATTTTGAAATTCGTATTCCCATTCAAACTTCAGATACAGGGACCAAAAAGAAAAAGAAAGGGTGTTTGGTTTCGGTCTCAGTTTCCATATCTTAGTTTCTGTGCAGATAGTTAAGGTAAATCCAACAGAACCCATAATTTCTTTTTGTTTGTATTTAGGGTTTTGATTGATTTCTGCTTTTGGTTTGATAGTAGGAAGAAGCCAATTGTAACTCAGAGATGGATCGGTATCAGAGGGTGGAGAAGCCGAAAGCAGAGATTCCCATAAACGAAAATGAAATTAGGATAACAACACAAGGCAGGATGAGGAATTATATTACTTATGCAACCACTCTCCTCCGAGTAACTTCCTTTGTCTTCTTTTAATTTTTTTATTTTAACATTTCGCTTCATGTTTTGCTTTATTTCAGATATTAATGTCATTTCCTTAATACAATTGTTTGCATGAGTATCTATGCTACTTCGACACGAGTGTGTGTGTGTTTTTTTTTTAAGTTTTCCATTTATCCGGAGATTCATGTCCCGTACGCATATCAAAACGTACATGCATCAAACATAGGTACATTAAGAAGTAGATTAGACGTATGGAAGTTTAATTTTATGCTTCATAGTGTCAATATTGTGAGAATTGGAGTTTAGTAGGTGCATCATTACTCAAGTATATTTTTTATGGCGGTATTAGGTTATTGGAAAACAACGGTTGAGTGGCAATGTTTTCATAAAAATTCACTCTTCGTCTACTTCGATAAGCTTCATAGGGTATTTATTGAACATGTTGTAGTCTTAATGGCTAACAGATCTTTCGCGTGGCTAGCAATCAGTTACGGAAATTATATTACCGACTGAAGAATTAATGGGATTATTGCAGTTTGAATATTTGAAATTTTCCTGGAGGGGGAAAAGGCTTAATATTAAAATTCCTTCATATAAAATTAATTTTTTTTATTAGACTTTTTTCCCTCTACATTTTATGTAGGAGAAAGGTTCCAGTGAGATTGATCTTAAAGCAATGGGCAGGGCAATTAATAAGACTGTTATGATTGCAGAGCTAATCAAGGTAGCTTGAAGATGTCTCTTTCTCCCTGTCTCTGATCCCAATTACATGTTTATTAGTATATACATACATGTCATTTTCTTCATTTATATCAAGGTTTCTGTTTTCAGAGGAGAATTGCTGATCTTCATCAGAATACTTCGATTGGATCAACTGATATAATTGACATGTGGGAACCACTAGAAGAAGGCCTCCTTCCGTATGAAACAGTGACTCTTTTATGCTTATTAAGTTCTTTGCATTTGCCATGTGTTTAGACCATAGATATTATGTTGATCGGTTTTCTGTTTTATTACAGTCTGGAGACTACCCGTCACGTGTCAATGATCACTATTACATTATCAAAGAAGGAGCTGGATGTGTCCTCTATAGGGTAAGTAACTGAGAACCAATTTTTCATTTACAGCTAAACAGTTGGTGCCTGCTTACACTTATTTTAATTGTTTCAAAAGGTGGTAGTCTAATTTCTGTCTTTGGATTTAGACATTAAATGTTGCATTTGTGTGTGTCCCTTGTTTTTGTTTCATCCGAATAATTGTCTTTTTTTTTACGACTTTATGGTTCTATCTTTTTCTCATATAATATGGATATTTGAATACTGTTTATTCAGTTTTTCATTGAGAAGCATTGAATACATTTGAGCTTTCCCATTCTTTAATTTTGAACCGTGCTTCTCAGGTCATATCTAATTACTCTTAAAATGCAGATATCAGCCTCCTCTTTCCGCTGATCAAGTGAAACCATTAGATGAATTTGAAGACGAGGGAGGTAAGCAATCTTGTTTCTTAGACAAGTACTTATTGAAGGGAGAATGAATTTGTAATACCTAATATTTTGATCTCATATAGCTCCTGAGGCTCCACCAGGTACGCAAGTAAGGGGACGAGGTGGTCGAGGAAGACCTAGGGGTAGAGGTATTCTTTCTATAACATATACAGTTTTTAGTTCGAGTATGCCAACTTCTCATTACTCTTTGCTACTTTTTTTTGATAGGAATAGTAGGACTCCTTAGGAACCTCCCTCATAGTTTACATTTGATGTAAACTGATTGAGGGAGGAAAAGAGCACCTCATTTTATTGAAAAACCAGAATTACATAAGATACACAAAACATCCTGATCCTGAGAAACACAGGATAAACATAACACTCTAACCCTCGAAAATACACCATGACCATAATACAAAAAGCGATGGGAAAAAAACACCCATCAGCCTAACCCCACACCAACATTATCGTAACGAACACCACTAAGCCTTCAACACTCATCCGATTCCCTGCTTAGCTAACCTATCTGCCTCCATATTGCAACTCCTAGAAACCCATCTCAGAACAACACCCTTTGTAGAAACAAGAACTCCTATTTCCTCCACCAACTCACTGAAAATAGTAGGGGAAGGACTCTGTTTTAAAATCCAATCTACTGCATATTTGTTATCACTTTCCAAAATAAGTCTTCCCTTGTTGGCCCAATCGGATGAAAAGAAGAAGAGCAATCCTTTCTTAATCGCTTTCAGTTCAGATAGAATAGGGGGACCAGGGCCCACTGCGGAAGAAAAATTAGCTAAAGTGCAGCTGCAGGAGTCTCTCAAAACCCCACCAATACCACCCTGCATCCCATCTCCAGTCACTGCCCCGTCGACATTGAGTTTGAACATATCAGATGGAGGAGGAGTCCAGCAACTAATCTTCTTAGCACTCGAATTAGAGGGTAATAAATCCGCCCGCGTAGGATCCCCTACTAGAAGGTCTGTCAGAATCCGAACCCCCGGGTATTTAGCCAAGAACCATTTAGCCAATCTAAATCTAGTAATGAAGAACAGAACAGTAGAGTCACATATGCCATTTTCAAATACAACCTCATTTCTGGCCTTCCAAATAGACCAAAATATGACAGCCGGAATAAACCTCCAAATAAGGGAATTTTTCCTAAGGTTCGACCACGAACACAAAATTGAAGAAGGGTCTTGAGGCATCACCGTAGAGATATTCCATAACCTTAGAAATTTACTCCACAATTCCGAGGCAATAGGGCACGTTAGGAACAGGTGTGCAACAGTTTCATCCTGATCATGACACATAGGACAAAGAACATCCGAAATCTGAAGTCCTCTTCTCTTCAATTCCACTCTCACTGCCACTTTCTGATGACAGATCTGCCATAATAAAGTTTGAACTCTTGGAGGCGCCAATCCATCCCAAACCCACTTCTTCCATACAAAACTCCCTTCCGACCTATCTTGTAACGATAATCGACAAGATTTGACCGAGAAAATGCCATCCCCCTTTCCTGACCAGCCCAAAAAATCATCCACACATCGTGACAGCGACGACT